GAACCAAAATGCAAGAGAAGCAAAGGATTTTCTCTTAACCACTGTAACATCAAATATTAAATCAAGAGAAAGTCGTCACAGAGACATTCTTACTGCGAGTTGTCTGTTCATCGTTTGCAGGAGGAATCACATGCAGATAAACTACAGACTTATGGCGGAGATCTCGCAGTGTAGAATGTTTAGTCTCGGTAGATCGGTGAAAATCATTTTAAAAGCTCTTGATCTTCACCTGGAGCCGATTGGAACTGAGTCGTCGCTGGTACGTGTTCTTGCACAGTTAGACATTGAAGATAAGTCTACTGAGAAAACCTGATTTGATTTGTGTCACATTTTTAAGCACTTCAGTCTGGCCGGCGACAGAAATCACTTCACCTCTGCTATGGCTGTGGTTCTTATCGTACTAGAAGGTAAAAAAAATTACTCCGCGTAAAGAAAAGATCGCGGAAGTTTTAGACAAAAATTCTGTGACAGATGCCTTGCTGAAATCACAAATGAAGAATACCAGAAGGGGTTTGGTTGAACTGGCAAAAGATGTACCCTGGATTCCAAAATCGCTTAAGAACACTGCCATTGCTAGATGTATTGATGACATTGTTGATTTTCACAAAAACTGTGGAAAGATGTATTTGTCTACAGTTAAGTGTTTGTATATGAAGAGGAAATAACTTGCAGAAATTAATCACAAGAGAAAGATACAGATGGCAGAAGCATGCATCAATAAGGAAAAAACACAACAGCTTTATAGCTCAGCTGTAGACAGTTCTTCTACTAATGACACCCTGGCTAAACCTTCAGGTCCAAGCAGTTCTTTAACTAACCAAAGTAAGGATGGTGGTGTAACAAGGGATCCAGTGACAAACCATTTGCATATTGATGGTGTTGACAGAGGCCAGCAGGGTAATTCTGCAAATGCCCCAGAGTTTAGCAGCAAAAGTGAGCTGGATGATAATGATGCCTTGATAGGAGACCTGCGTGGGAGTGGCTACTCTGAGGAAGAGTTGATGGATGGTTACTTTGAATCAAGAATTGTTGATCTCAGGGCAGCTGTGACCCTGAAGGGGAGAGAGAGAATCTGGATGAACTTGATATCAGAGAGTCTAATATGCATCATCATTTGAAGTCTGTTGCTGAGGTGGAATGAATAAAAAATCTTAAGAAAGATGACTCTTCTACAGCAGAAGAACAAAGTCAGTAAAAATCAGACTAAAATAATCAGTGGAACTGTCATTGGAAATATATTTCTTGACACTTTTGTTTTAACTTACACCCCACTCACATCAACACTTAAAAATGTTTTAAAGCTGTTTTGTCAAACATAGTGTAAAATTTGTTTCTTCCTAGAAGCTGCTTATATCAATATTTATCAACTTCAAATGTAGCACAGTGAAAACACAAGTTAGTGATTACTTGAATCCTATGGAAAACTCAGTTTTTCAGTATTTTGTTTCTGATTTTCATTCAGTTAAACCTGGTTTAACTAAACATGTTTTGGTGGTGTGAATGGGTATTAGTTTATCAATTCAATTCATTGTTCAGCAATTATAACTGATAGATGATAAGCCTTGCTCTGAAAATTTTGGGCCAGTTATTTACTAAAGTTTAGCTGTTGTTTAACAAAACCATGTTCTAGACTACCTTGAATTTGCTGAATCTTTCATCTGAACATTTATTTTTGTGAACAGTGTCAAGGAAGCAAACAGTGGAAGGTCATCTAGTAAATGAAAACAACCCTCTTATAGAGAATATTTGGGGCCCACTGCTTGTATAAAACCATGGTTCATGTTAGACCTTACGTAAATAAGCAGCCTTTTGTGTTTAATATAAAACTCCTAATGGCCATGCAGCATTTAGTCATAGTATTACTGTGTTTTCCTGAACATGTTTGGTGTATAGTCCTTTTAGTGCTGTGAGGGAATTGTACATTACAGATTACAGCACATGAAAACCTTTGGAGGTTTAACCCTTTCTTTTTTTAAATTAAATTTTGCATTTTTGCAATTTCCAATGAAAACAATTCCTCAAGTACAATCACATGATTGCCAAGGGAAAAATAAAGTAATCAACTGAACACAAAAAAATCACAGGGTTTTTCATTAGGAGAAACAGTGACATACATGTAATCTGTAGTGAACCCTGCTTAAAACTGTGAGGTTTTTGGTTGGAGCCCTGGGTGACCAGGGGGATTAGGGTTAGATCTACATTTTTTTTGGTTCCATTCTGTTGGTTTTAATCCCATTTCCCACTGGAAATGATTGCCAAATATATTTCTTTTGCTACAGTGGACAAATTTGCATGTAATTTTTAGCAATTTGGATTTTTGGGAAATGTTCCAGGTTTGATCCTCCTTTCAAAGGTCTTTCTGTTGTTTGCTTTGATAGACACCATACTCTCACCAGGCCTCCCCCTACTTGGGAATACATGTGAATACTAGGACACCATCAACCATCATTTGATAATGGCAAAAATTTGCAAAAATCATGAAATCCACCAAGCTGATTTTCCTTTGCTTGGGGGGTAACAATATTTAAAAATCTATAAATCTATAAATTAAATCACTGATTTATATTTACCAAACCTCTTCAACTTTCTAGAAGTTATAGATTATGACATAGCAAATATTTTATTCGAGCATAGCTACTCGCCTGTTAGGTCAAAGTCTGTGGCCTCTTACAGTCCCATTTTTTTTGCTGCACACTTCTTAATAGGAGGCCCTATACACTTTGCATTATCAGATATATAAAAGTTTTTGTCACATAAAAAACAAACAAACCAAAGAAAAGAAATTTGCCATAGGAAAGTTGATCAATGATTGTTAACAATCAAAGGATGAGGTAAAAATAGAAATTGATTATGTAAATAAGAAGTACTGTAACAAAACAATCCCTGCAGGTGAAAAAATTACATAGAATTTGCAGAAAATAAATTCTTAAAAAGTCAAAGCTGCAACGGGATTTAAACCCTTGCTTCTAATATACTAGTTGTTCAGAATTCAATCTGAAGAGAAAGACAAAACTTTTTAAGATTTGATCTTTAAACAATGATACCTAGCGATCTGCAATGTGGGAAAATTAGTGGCCCTGGATCTTTTGGGTTTCTGAAAGGCGGCTGGTAGAGGTGGTGGTCAAGGTTGCAAGAGACTCCCCATAAGAGAAAACTTGAGTTCTATACCAATGGAACAACACGGCTTGTTCCTAAACGACAGTGAGTCACTAATGCAGAACAACCCCACCACTCGAAAATTAAATTTTTCTCCCACCTCAATACTAATCTATCATTAAATAATGAAGCCCAACGTACAGTAATTGCTAATGGCAACGTTTCTCTCACTTTTCCATTCATTCAATTTATTCAAATTTTTATTTCTGTTATGACCATAAAAGGAAACTTGGTTTACACCGAAGATCTTGAATAATTTTCATTGGTCTTTTTGAATGATCGTCATCCCAGATTACGTAATTAATTATAATGTATGCGAAGACAAATTTGTTCTGACAAACATCAATTTTGTCTTTGAACTATACACCTCTGGGGTTTGTGGAGAAAAGTACCGTTTAAAGGTCAGCTTTCGTTGGTGGCTACCCCGCACAGAAGACAGGTGAACCAAATACAATAGCCTGTTCGGCGTGGAAGTCGAGAAAGCTGAATAATTCATGTTGTGATTTAGTCAGCGATGGTTTAGCCTCGGTTTTGCAGCGGAAAATTCGGGGAAAAAGATTACTTCAACGTGAAAGAAAATGTGCCAATTTGCCTCGTCGACAATTGCTTGGATTTTAATAACTACTTGGAGGTTCTTTCCAGCAGTTCTTGGTGAGTTACCCTCGTGGCATGATAATTTCAAGAATTTTGGAAATTTGTTCTGTTCATAAATAAACCTTTACTTTGAATCAACTTTAATTTCGAATCGTCAAAATAGAGATTTTAGAGAATTCTGTAACTTTTTTCAATGTTTAGTATATTTACAATTTTTGGCAGCGCTGTTAATACAGTACTCGCCTCTGTCAGTTAAGACTGATCTGCCATGTCTACAGCGTCCTGCATAAATTCGAACATAATTTTAAAAAAAAAGTTTTTGTAACATAATTTCCTGAAAACTGTTCGGCAGCACGACTTTTGAATTCCGAAAAAGTCATTGTTCGAATAAATAGGGGCGAAAAAATTAAAGTTGGAGGAAGAAATTTGAAGGAAAACATTTGCATTACCATGCGGTGTTAAAATTGAAACTTTGTGCGATTAATTTCAAGTTGGACAGGAATACGTAAAAAGCTGTTTGCTTTGTTAATGGCAGAGTACCGGTTGTTTACCAAGGTTTCGCATTGCCATCCGCTTGGAATAAGATTTTATTGATTGATTCATGAGCCTTTAAGCGTCTATGGTGCTTTGAATTAAGCATCTCTTATTTAACTAAAATTCTGTCGATTAGTTCATTGCGAAGTTGTCCCGTGAATGTAGATTTCTAAATTCATGAGAACGTCAATTGAGTGCGATTAATTTCGCATTTAATAACGCGAATGTCAATTGACTGGCGTGAAGTTTCAAATGAGAATGATTTCAAACAATTTATTCTTTATGATCTAGGCCGCAAACCTGTCACGGAAATTTTGCTTAAAATAGCAACATATTCCCAACAGTGTTCTACAGCGACTTTTCAGACTTGTCGCATGACTCGAAACTTTCTTCTTTAAGATGTTATAATTATAATCTTAAGAACAACTCACCTTTTAGAGTCAAGATTAAAATAAAACTGCATATCCATGATCGAGAAAGGATGTCCACCGGAAAAATATATGAAAATAACGAGATAAAACCGTTAGATGCAACTTTCCTTGAATGACAGATCTAGACTGACCTCTGTTCTGAGTGATGTTTTCAAGCAGCGTTTGATCTTTCTTTCCTCTAAATCAAGTCTTGACATACATTGGATAGTTATTTCACAATAAAATTTCTCAATGACTTTAAGGTGGCACTTGCTTATAATTTATGTTTGAGTCGTGCAGAAAGGCATGACTGAGAAAAAGAAACAGGAATGTAAGTGTCAAAAGCCACGATTGACAAAAGAATGTTTTCCTCTCTCACTTTATCGTCCACCATGAAAAAGAATTATGTGAAAAGTTTCCCTTAATTTTCCTGGTTAGTCAGTATTTCCCGGAAAGGTGCGAGAAATTTGTGTCGTAAAATTATTTCGTAATCCAGGCTATAATTTAACTATTTTACTCTCAAATAATTGACAGGTATAAATGGAAATGCTTCCTTAACTAGTCCTAAGCCAGCTTCTGTTGCAGAAGTATCATCGCTTCAGCCGTCGATTAAATTGCGTTTGTCGACCAACACAACTTCAAACACTAATATTTTTACAACTCAAGTCGAAGAAAGCAAAGCGTTGAGTTACATGGTGACGTCACCCGGCGGTAGAGGTATCCTGTCGTCTCGACCCTTTGATAAGCTGTCAGATTCAACTCCACTGACAACTCCGACAAAGGATTTGCATTTAACTCAAACATCGTCTAAAAACATTTACAGCGCAACAATGGATGGTGGCTTCCCAACTACGTTGCTATCATCTCAGACAAAGGTACAAGCAACACTAGATACAACACAGAAAGCGGTTGAAGCAGCCCTGCCTTGGACTCGACAAACCTCATCATACGTCAGTATAATGCACAGCCAGTCGAAAACAGATCTAACTACATCTTCTGTGAGCGTTGAACAAAAGACATATCAAATTCTCCTGCATCTGACCAGTAGAAAGTCGGATACAATATCTCCGAGCCAGTATACTTCCAAGGACCCATACACGTTTTCTTCACAGCGAGTCAAATACAATTCCACGCTCCTCTCAACTACGACCGTAAAAATTACCTCATCTCAATTTTTCTCTGACACCAAAGGTTCAGGGTACTTCAACTCTGCAGAGAGCCTTCAAACAAAAGAAACCCAACATAACTTACTTGAAACAACAACTTTATCTTTCCAAGCCACAGGTGTTGCAGTATCTCACCATGGCCAAACTCCCTTCACAGGTGTCACTGTGTACCGAATAGTTCCATGTAATGAATCATCCACTAAAATCTCTGCCCTTTTTACTGGTAACCAGGCCTCAAGATCGAGTTATTCGTACAATAAAAGTAGCGTGTATCTATTATATCAATCAACTAAAAACGAGGCCATCTCCTCGATGCCAAATACTTCATCAGATGTAAAGTTGACCAAAACATCGGGAAAAGGTGTCACAGCGTGTCCAAGTATCACAACTCTCTTATCCACATCTGTACATGTGAGCCCGAAAGGAATCTCCGCGAATCTGATAACTTCTCCTGACAAGATTACCATCACTACCTGCATTTCTCAAAATTTTCATGCTACAGAGGTGACATCATATTTTGTTCAGAGTGGTACAGGATCAGCTTCATTTTTAGTTCAACCAAGTACGTCAGCGAAAAAGGTAACCACTCTACAACCTTCGACAGCTCTTCTGAATGTTAAAGCCTCGACTCCTCAACCATTGAGCAATACTGTAGGAAGGACATCCTCCTTTTCCTCCACTGCTGTCAAGAAATCTCCTCCTGTTAACAGTGAACACTCTAAACAAGTCACAACCACCCACAGGTACCATAAGACACCAATCACAACACGTCCTGGAATGTCGTCATCCGTTGAAACCTCCGGAAAAAGGCTCGATACTCTAAACACTGGCAGTGTGACCGAGAAAAGCCTAAGTACTATAAACACTGGCAGTATCACCGAGAAAAGCCCTTATACTATAAACACTGGCAGTGTAACCGAAGAAAGCCTTAGTACTATAAACACTGGCAGTGTCACCGAAAAAAACTTTAATACTATAAACACTAGCAGTGTCACCGAAAAAAGCCTAAGTACTATAAACACCGGCAATGTCACCGAAGAAAGCCTCAATACTGCAAAAACTGAAAGTCAGAGCACACAGCAAGTTGGTATCTCGGGATCTGCCTCGCCTAACATAATCTCGACCAATACTTTAGAGTTTACCTCAAACACTTCTCATCAATCTAGTACTATTTCATTCCCGAAAGCCACATCAATATCACCGAGTAAGATGCTCACCACAACATCATTGGTTGCTCACAGCTTTCCACAGTCTCGTACGTTGAAACCAATAACCTCCACTTCTTTCCTCTTCAAAAGTTCGCGTAAATTGTCTAAATCAGCCACAGAAACATCGTCAAAATATGTTTCAGTGACTGAAAGCAACACAACGATTCTTCCTCGTTATCTCACAACAGCTGCGTCTATTTCAACAACAGATAAAACATTAACTTCGACTAAAAGACCATCATTGGGAAGCAAAACCACGCAGATTAAGAAGTCCAAGATTTCTACTTTGAATTCAACAAATATCGGTGAAGCTTCAGTGTTACATACGTCTTCTGCTCAGTATCTGATAAATGAATCACGTGAATCACCAGAAGCGACATTTAGCAAAGCCACTGTACTCTCCTTACAACAGTCATCATCTCCAAGCACTGATGGGCAAATTATGTCCAATAACACATCACATGCTGGTTATTCAAGCATCCTTACTTCAATCGTAACCTCAATCCGTAAATTGCCCTCAACGCCAATTCAATCAACACAAACTTTGACTCGTTATTTACAATTCTCTACACAAGCGATGACAACGAGGCTTGTTACAATCCCAACCGCCACGCCTCTGGGTACACCACAGCTAACGACCACTGAAAAATACTCCTCAAAACAAAGCAGTAAAAGCATATCAACTGTGCAACAAAAGAGGGCATCGACTCGTCAAAACGTGCCACTTACTAAAACTTCGGTATATCCCTCTCCCTCCTCCATGCTCGTGTCTGCATTTAACAGGAGTACATTGATCCAAAAACCGTCAATGAGCCACCGACCGTCATCATCATTATTTCTGCCAAAAGATAGTAGAACTCAAACCGTTGGGATTACAAGCCAGATAACAGCTGTTGATAAGATCACATCATCATCGTATTTGGCCTCGACTAGTATCTCAAAAGTTTCACAAAAGCAAAGTGTGCCTTTGTCTGCCACGTACAGTTCTAAACATGGGGGTTCTGCATCGTTCATACACGAACCCTCGAAGAGGACTAGTCCGGCGTTGACGTCAGTAACTACTTTAAAGCTTGAATTATCAGAAATGAATTCTGAGGTTTCTCGATTTTCTGCAACGAGTCTCCACCCCATTGAATCCACTAAATCGCTTGAATCAGTAATTTCATTGATATTTCCTGGTCACTCAAGTTTGACATTCTCTCCTAAAACGACCGTGCTTACGTTAGAAAACACCCGGACTCAAGCTTCTTCAGAACCTCAAACAGCTCTAAAAGTTACCACAAAGAGTTCACAAATCTTTATTAATACAACAACAGTTGGAGCTGCAACACCTGTATTAGTGACTTCATCCAGTGCCTCGACACAAACGAAACCACCGCCCGAGATTCCAAGTCAGTTCGAAGGTCGGATGATTCTAGGAATGCCATGGCAACCACACTACGAGTATCCACCGGGATCCCAAACACTTAAAACTACAATAAAAGATAAACTGACCAACGCGCTGAAAGATCTTGAAGGTTTTATTTCAGTTCAAGTTCTGCGTTTGTGGGAGAGCAGCGTTGGCGTCGATTTTATTGTGTATGTAAATAAGCAAGTCACGGTGAACGAAAGTCTCATAGAAAGAACACTCGTTAAGGCAAATAGTATAGGTGTTTTAGACCTGCCTTTGAAAAGCCTCCAAGTGAAAGAAAAGGACGCTCCAACCACACAGAACTTACCCACAACCAGCCCTACAACACAGGAAAAGTCCATCGAGCGATGGGTCATCATAATCATCATTGCCAGCATTGTGGTATTCTTCCTGTTGATTATCATATGCATATTAGTGGTAAGTACATTGGGAGACCAGGTTTGTTTCCTTATCCTTTGGACTTTTCCTTATCGCATTTCTTACCTTCATGATTGAAAAAGTTTTTGCATCGGTAAAATGTTTTTTTCTTTCAGTTATTTCAGAAACCTGTAGGCACCATTTGATGCAATTTGCATGCAAAGTTTTTCTTAGACGGGCGAGTACCAAAGTGTAATGAACAGCAGGATAATATAGCCCACCAAGTAAATACAGTGGCTTACATCACTTTGCCCATCATCTCTCTTACAGATCATCGTCTGTAGTAACTTACACTTACAACCTTCCAATCCTTGTGAACAAACTCATTCAGTTCCTGTAACATCATGACATAAATAGCATGTGATGTTTCTGGTATTCAAAGCAAGAATTCGCACCTTACTTGGTATAGATCACCACAGTCGTAAAAATAACCAAGTTTCTATTAAATTCTAGAGGTCAGGATCTGATATACCTTACCTCGCCGGAAGTGATCAACATCTGTATGAATGATGGGTTCACCAAATAGTTTTTGTGGAAATATATGGTTAATAATGATAAATAATAATAATAATGAATAATAATAAAAAATATATTATGTGGTTAATTATTAGGACTTTTCGTTATGAAATTTCTTTTTTCTAATCCTCTTTTTCAAGGCTAAAATTAGTAAACAACGAGGTGGTGTGCGTAGAAGTGGAAAATACGAGCTTTCAAGCTTCACCAACTTCTTGCACTCTGAACAAACAGAGTCAGAGACAAAACCTGTGGTATTGAAGATGCAAGAACGAACAGCAAGCGAAGCTGTACAACAACAATCAATTAAAACTAAACAAATCTCTGGAGACCCAGAGGCATTGCAGTCCTTCGCTAATGGAAGTAATGATGGTGGCAGTAAAGTAACAGGAAACTCACGTGCGAAGGAAAACCAAGTAAGTATCTGTGTACATCATTTGTGATTGAAAGGCAATCATCATCATTAGGGATAAAAATGCCTTTCAAAGACCCTTTCCAATTTCTTTAACGGATTTCGTATAGTAAGAAACTTTAACCATCAACGCCTACCTTCATGCGCGAAACAAGATGCACAATGCAACACGACAAAATCACATAAAAAAGCTAAAAACGTGGTACACTCGCGCCCTGAATCAAAGGTAGAAGGTAGCATATGGAGTGAGTTACCAACTCTCTGTTACCAAGCAAAAGTTTCATTTGGATTTCAATTCCAATTCCTCTTTTGCCTTCAAGCTATTTGCCTGCGCAAAGATACGTAACCAATTGTAAGGGCTCTCTAATTTGGCTCGCATTTTTCAGTAGGAAAACGAGTTTTTAACTAAGAGCGCGCATTCTATGCTATCCTGTGCCGATAGCATAGAATGGAATAAGTTGTCACTGATATATAAACTTTACATTGCATGGTGATATATGTAAGAGGGTATCAATAAGGTGCACCGTTAGCCCTTAAAACGGCCAAAAAATCTTTAGCCGTCAGGCGTAAAAATGGGACAAATTTCAAACGTTAACCGTGGAGCCATCACCCCAATGAGACTCTCCTATACCTTTTTTGATCTCATGGAATTGAACACCATGACTTTTAATCACAGGGCTTTACCTCGACCGACTTAGGTGGTGTTGATCAAAATTAGAGCTGGAAACCGCTACAAAGATGGAATTCATGGCCGAGTTCTCCAAAATTGCACGTAAACGAGGAAAAGTAAATCTAACAATCGATTATAAGTGGTTCCAGTGTAACTACCGTATTTGCAGTTTAACTGCTGCTATAGAGTGAGTTAATAAAAAGAGAAAGATCTGTGTATCGGTATCTGAAATAACAGCGAGTCCCTTTCAAATCAAATTTCTGTTAACTTAAACTGAATCAAAATTTGTCCACATCTTTCTCAACCACAACCGTAAATATAGATCTAATTTATGTAGAACAAATTGCTAATATAAATAAAATGAATAATGTTCAAGTGAAAGTATGTTTTATTGCGAAATACTGACCCACTAAAACAAAGCCTTTTATGACTTAAAAGGTAACCAAATACAATGTTAGAAAACTTTAGGAGTTACCTCTGACGTAACTACAAGCGAGAAAGACAAGACAACTTTACTTCTCTCCACTTTTTCAAAATCAAGCAGGGGAAAAGTAAAGTAGTAGATACACCTCATGACAATAACTCGTTCTTGGATAAGTAAACTACAAAAGTCAGCTTGCTTTTATTCGCTACTTGAGCTTACTTTACCGAACACAATAAGGGAAATCTTAATTAAACTTCAATAGCTACTTAGTTAAGATTCAATTTGAAACGTTAAAGGTTAAGAACCGAAGTAAACGTTTCACGTTATAAAAAATTTAAAAAGCTTTACCTGGATCAAGTCTAACCTTGGTCATAACCTAAAATCGGTAATTACGTTCACTCAAAGGAATATTTGCAGAGAAATTTACGACAAATCATAGAAAAAGCTGTTTTGACCAAACGAATGCGTAGATCTGAGCCTAAATGCTCTTTATCTATAAACGTTTCTTGAGATCTGACAGTTTTTTCTTTTTTTTTTCCTTTTCAAGTACTCTTCATCAAGCAATGCCCCCTTAGCGTAATAATCCGAATAAGCAACTTGTTTGATCGCAAGATCTACCACTAGTATTACATTCAGTAGACTAAACGCTAATGTTTGCCTTCTATGAAGTCAATAGAGTACACACGGAATATGCTCCCCACCAGTGTAGAGTGTCTGTGATAACGAAGACAATGTTATAATGATACCGACGAGGGAGAAGGGGTGTGAAATAAATAACCCTTCTAAACCACTCAAGAGTACATCATAAAAAGACCAATATTATACATCGATGCAACACTAAAACTCTATTAGCTATTTACAAAATACGGTTCCCATTACCATCAATATACAACTGCTACCCTGGCAACGAAAAATGTTACCGTGATGATGCAAATTAAATATCTCTAATTCTGCTAATGGCTGCCAACCTACAGAGTTGCAAGGCAACATGACTTCTCTTTAGAATCCAAGGGCGCTTTCTAATTCACAGAAATGATCGGTTAGACCATCCTGTTGGTGTTATCAGTTTTGTTGCTTCATCGTGGAATATTCTCACGAAACACGAGAGACTTTCGATTGTACACGTTAATACAAAAAATATTCTACAATCCCTTTGGTATTAGAAGCACACGAGAAAGCGCATGTTTCAAGTAGGTTTTACGCTTTGGGTGTTCGAGAATCATTTACGTCGCAAACAAGAGCTGTTTAGCCAGAACTTCTCTATGGAAATGCCCTAATTCTGTGACCGCAAGGCAAAAATGAATGACTATGTATTAATTTGCCAATTATGTATCTCTATTCTGTTAAATTGCAAAATATCCTCATATTATAATTATCAATATAATCTGATATAAACTCTCTATAAAATCATTTCTATTTTGAGCTCACTTCTCTCATAATTAGATCGGAAGAAAGATTAAAAACTTTCTCCGAGTATTATTTTAAACACTTGGCAGTTTGTTTTCGAAGGAAACTGAAGTCAATCATCGGCTAAAACGAAAAATAATGCGACGAAACTTCAAAAGCGTCATCTATAGTTTCAGCATTCCTAATTTTTCAGTTAAGTCTACAATATGCTGAATAAATCTTTTTTTCTCCCTATTAACACAATTCTACATAATCAAAGGCTCGGAGAGGATTTTCTTACAAGAGGTCCTGCGCAAGTATGGTACTGGTGGCTAGGGGCGTGGAGGTTGCTTGTAAAAAGTTATCACAAAAGGCCAAATTTACGTCATAAAAAAGGTAGGAAACGACTAGACCCCAGGACTCCTACTTAGCTCTTGATTTAAGTAACAACGCCAGCTCCCCTCGGCTCCCTCTCGTGGCACTGTCTTCGCTCACCTAATTCTATCAGAAAATGTTATTGTAGAGAAAGTTATACCAGCGAAAGTTCACCCCAGTTGTTGTACATGAAATCTCACAACGGTATCTAGTCAACGAAGAGCTACCACCTGATTCAACTCCGATAGACTGGATGTAGTGGTGAGAGATTAGTTTTTGTAAATAAAAGACGACGTCGTCATGCAGGACGTGGGACGGGGAGAAAAGTCACCGTGTACGCACGTTTGTCATCCCGGTACGAAACTCGCGCTGGTGTGTGTTTCTCTTGTAAATACCGCCTCTAATTATATACACTGCTAAGCGGAAGAAATTTAGTTGAGTGACGATAGTAAACGTGGTTAACTTAACGTCTGCTTAAAAGAAATTACGTAATAAAATACCATATATGCAGACAGCCAATAACCAGCTACATAAAGAGTAAAACAACCATTATATCAATAACTAATTTAAAACCTCGTTAAGAAGCACATTGCTAAATAACACCGAGCAACAATGCATATACAATTTCACAATTACCTGAAAGCTTTCATAACAATAAATACCGGGTTTCTTAACATAAAATAAATCAAAAACAACAGGAAAGACCTTAAGAATCAAAGAATTTATCACTCATTAGAATACACCACACGAGTGAATAGTGCTTTTCGCGCGCGCTGATTGGCTGTTTCGGAAGTGGTTAGCGAGTGCTATTCACTTCCGTGCAGCCAATGATACAAACGAATCGCAAGTCAAGAGTCTAATTTCCGACCAATTTTCGTTATGTTGACAGAAATACACTTATTGTTAGGTTTCTGTGTGGTATATACTAAAGCAATTATACACCCCAGTGTCAGTGAAAGTGCTGGATATTTACCTCCACTTCGGTGAATAACTGTTAAATATGGAATCGTAAAATATTTTGAACGAAGCTCTATACAAGGGGATTACTACCCGTAAATGAATATCGACGATTCTTCAAAATGATACCAGAATGGTTGAGAAATTATGAAACAGTGAAAGAAAGCTTTAAGATACGAATAAACAAATACACATTGACCTCGATGCCCGTCTACATCAGAACAAAAAGTTTGGAGGCTTGTTGATGTCCTCGGCTTCCACTGAAGGCTCGGTTTTCCTTGTGTTTTTTTTCCCTTCTGATATAAAATGACAAATATATACAGTTATGTCAAAAATGCAGTATGTGAGAGATTCAGTGATTAAACGTTAGATTTTGCCATGAAACAAACAAGAAGATAAGCTTGAAAAATAATACTGAAGGGAAGAGAAGAAGGGGAAGTGAGAGAAATAGGAGGGAAGGGAGGAGAGGAAAGTAGGAAGAAAAAGAGATTGGGTAGAAGGTATTGGGGTAGACGGAGACAAAGAGAGTGAAAGGAAAGAAAAAGGAAAAAAAGAAATGGGTGAAAATTAGAGAGAATACAAGTGAAGGAAGGAAGAGTACAGGGTAACAGCAAAAGAAGATAAAGGGAGAAAGAGAGAAACGGAAGACGAAGGGAAGGTGTGGAAGGGGAAAGAGGAAAACAGGAAAGAGAGAGGGAGAGGGAGAGAGAGAGAGGAAGACGGAGGAAGTAGGACATAAAAGAAAGCTAAATGAAGGAGGGAGGAAAACAGAAGGTTAGGAAGAAAAGGAAGGAGAGAATGGTAGAACAAAGCGTGGGCGAGGGTAAGAATATGACAAGATAAAGGGAAAGGGAGATAGAAAGAGAGAGAAGGAAAAGAGAAGGGAGGGAAGAAGATAGTGAGGTAGGAAAAAGGAGAGGAAGGAGAGTGAAAGGGAGAAATCAGAGAGGGAATATTACTGGTGGAAGGAGGAAAACATGGACAGAAAAAAGGAAGGATGAAAACAAAAATGCGACACACCGACAATAAAAGGGAAATGAAAGAAGAGGAGGGAAGGAAAGAAGGAAAGAAACCAGAGGGAGAGAGTGCGAAGTGTGAATAATGGTGGCTTTACGAGAGAGGGACAGCAGATTAAATCGATGAAGGTCAGAGTAAGAGAAGGATGGAAAGGGAGGAAGGAAGAAGGAAAAAAATTAAATTGGAGGAATGAAAAAGAAACAAAGAAAGAAATCTCACATACTGCTGCCAGATGATGAACATGCTAAGAATGGTAATGGAAATTTTTTTATATGCATTATACGATTTTTTTTTTATCAAATTCACTAACTTACCCCTCAGCACAACTACCATGCCCGCTTCACGCTCGCTTGTCGTTGTATGGCCTGTTAGAAATACCATTTGTTGTTTTCACTTCCGAAGCGCGCAAATTTCGTTCCCACATGAGAAGATCGTCATTGCTTCGTATCCATTCGGAATCATTGATCGCCATGCGCTGTGGGAAGTTAGTTTTCCTCTTCAGCTTCGTATACTTACACTGAAAAGTGAAAACCACGACTGCTCATCGATATGCTTTTGTATGTCAACTTTTTCCTTTGGGTATTTGTTAATACCGGTTTACGGTCGTTTCGATACAAAAACGTTTCGCTACAAGTCGTTTCGATACAAACGGAATTCAATTTGATGCATCAACAAAGTCGATTCGAAGCAAGTGATTGAAGTTGTATCGAAACGACTCTCTAAGTGTTATTAAACGACTTTATCGGTGTATCGAGTCGACTTGTATCGAAACGACTTTGTATTTGAACGACTAGTCTTCTTATCGCTTAGCCTCTATACTTTAGAAGTACTGCTAGTTTCGACAATGCACTGTATTTACTTGTGAGTGAAGGTTACTGTTTGCGAGTCA